ATATTATATATAGCATTTTATCAACTATGTGAAATATATATGCATAGAAAAAAGACTAGAAAGAAACTTGTAAGGATGTTAGCAATTGTGGTTTTTGTGTTGTAAGATTATGGGCAACTTTTAATGTTTTAGAAAATTTAGAAATGTTTCTAAAATGAACATGTTTTTCTTTTATAATAAAAATTTTTAGGAAGAGAAAAGAGGAATTTAAGAACAGCCTTGTTTTGGGGTGACCGGTTAGCTCAGTTGGTTGGAGCGTGGTGCTGATAACACCAAGGTTGCCCTGTTCGATCCCTGCATGGGCCACTGTGAGCTGCGCCCTCCTTAGAGTCAACTATGCCACTGTAGCATGAAAGCAATGTGTAACCAATGGCCATGGCTGTTCCCCAATAAATAAATAAATTAAATAATTAATTAAATTAAAGGGAAAAAAAGAACAGCCTTGTTCTGATGGAGTCTGCCTGCTGCCCATTTTATCCCACCACTGGACCCACACCAGGCCAAGAGAGCGGGACAGACTCTGCCCATGTCTACACCTTCTTTGCTTCCCTGCCCTCATGTGGCTCTGCCATCGTGTTGGTTTCTTCTTCCCATCTTACCTTGGATCTTGAGTTTCCTTACCTTGCGCAAACTTACTGATGAATGATAACACGTGTAGGTCAGTGAGATGTGTCTCAATGCTGAGATGGAAGAATGTAAATAAGGAGCCTCACAGTATAAATAATGGGCATAACTAATATTTGCTTGCCATCGACTTTCACCAGGGTCATGCTATGTGTTCATGCAGAATCCCACCAATCCCCAGTTTACAGATGAAGAAACAGGCTCGAAGAGGCTCCATGCATGAACCTGTCTGTCCCTATGTAGGCATCCATGAAGTTTGCATATTCATATGTTTCCAGTCCATCACCATGTTCTCTTAAATACTACCCCTAAATAGCTCTTCAAGCTGTTCACTTCGTACTATTGACAACGCTACCCCCCGCCTCACCCCATTCAAGCCCTATAGCAATGGCCTCCTAACTGGTTTCCCCCAGCCCTTCTTCATCTTCTCATCCTCTCTCTATTCAACTGTTGGGGTTATCTTCTAGAAATTAAAATCTGAACCCAACCACCATTGCTTAAGATTTTTCAGTGATTCCCAAAGCTCTTAGAATGGAGACAAAACTCCTTAACATGGTTCACTGGGCCATGTGTAGATCCCTCCATCCCTTCTGTCTTATGGCCCCCTCTTCTCTCTGTTCTAGCCCCATGGACCTTCCCTTAGTTCCTTGTACTCAGCTTCTCCCTCCTGCCACAGGGCCTTTGCCTATGCTCTGCTTTCTGCTAGATCCTTTCCTGTTGACCCCTGTGCCTAGTTAACTCCTACTCATCCTTCAGAACTCCTTTCGGATGTTAGCACTCACTAGATCACACCCTCACTAGACATTCTTGCAGCATCCCTTACCTTTTCTTCAGATCACTAAATATAGTTGCAGCTTTACATTGAGTCAATTAGTTGATTAATGTTTGTTTATTTTCACACTAGACTGTAAGTTCTATGAAGGCAGGAACTGTGTCTCTTTTGGATCACCAATCCCTGATACTGAGCATAATGCTTGGCCCACTAGAGATCATAAAATCTTTGTTAAATGAATGAGTTAATGAATGAACAAAACCCACTGACTCTTCTGATCTGGTTCCTTCTTTCTGAAAGGGCTCTCAAACCATAATAATGCTTGCCCATCACAAAGTGTCAAAGTAATAAAGTGTCAAAGTGTCAAAGCCTGCAGTCTACAGGCTGCATTTTAGACGCCTCCTTTCCCCTGCTAATTTCCACCCTCTTCCGAAGAGGGCCAGGAAGGAAGCCACTGCAGAGAAGTCTCAGGGCCAGCCTTTGCCAGACAGAGCCTCACCAGAAAGGCAGGGAGAACGGGAAGGTGAAGCAAGGAAGGAAAGAGGTATCTACTGAGAAGGGACTCTGTTTTGGATACCATGCTAAATGTTTGCATACATCATCTCATTTAATCCTCCCAAAGCCCAATTTTGCAGGTGAGAAAACAGACTTAAAGAGGTTGTGAAACTTGAATGTCATAAAACCAACGCAGGGCAAAGCTGAGTTTGAATTCAGGTGTCAGCCTTCCTTCAAAGTCTGGGCTTTTCCAGGCTTCCATCCTGGCCTCCAGCCCTCAAACAACTCCCCTACTCTGTTAACTTAGGGCCTAAAATTGGCCCTAAGGACTTATCAGTTGGCCTAAAACTGAGGTGGATGACAGTTGAAGTCGATACATGGGAAACAGAAACTCAACATCATAAAGGCAACCGCTACCAGACCTAAAAAGAAATACATAAACAAAAATTGAAATGTGGAAAGTAAAGGAGATGGAGTTAATGTGAGCTAATTTCTCATCCTTCATATTGAGGAGATAACAGATGCTGTCTAAAATGGACAAATTTATAATATTACATAAAGAGATAATGGTAATCACAAGAGAACTAAAAACAGAAGCTGTTAGTGGGGGTTGCCTCTGGGGAATAGAGCTGAGGAAAGGAAGGAAACTTTAATTTTTTACTTGTTTTTCCTTCTGAGCTGTTTGTTATTATT